TATTTTAAAAAAATTTGAAAACCTGCTTATGATTAATTTAATATTATGAGACCTAAGTATCATTCTCTCTCTTCTTCTTTTTTTTTTCGGTTTTGATCGATGTGTATGCTAAGAATTATTTATTTAGTTAACGAACGAGAGTAGTGGAGAGTTTGTTAAATGTGAAACCGAAGAAACTGTGGGTGTGTAATGGAATAACTAATCATGTGAGCATAAAAATAAATGCACATGAGAGACCATTGAATATGGTATTGTGGGGTAGCCCTAACTTTAGCCAGCAAAATTGCAACATTTTCATCAAAATGGACAAATATGTAGGGCATACCCTAAAGCCAAAGCAGATGCACCATCATTATTCGGACTCAACTTCTCTCCACTAGGTCCTCTCTCTATTGCTCCTCCGTTAAGATGAGGGAAAGATTTAGACTATTCAAATTTAATTTACAGAACATTAAATCAAAACCCTTAAACACATGACGGGTGAAGTTCTAAAAAGGAGAAGACGCGATGGATAAGACAGAAATATAGAAAGGTAAGTAGCCACTATAATTTGTTTATACAATGTTCAACTTGTCATAGTTTCAACAACTCAAACAAAACTAACATAGTTATATCTACACATCAGCATATTTAACTCTGGCAAAAATGATAAAGACTAACATTGAAAACAGATAAAATTTAAGGGTTAGAAACAATAGAAAAAGTAGAGACTAATACCAAAGTATGTTAAAAGTATACGAACCAATGCTTGTATTTTCCCTTGAACATTACAAAAATATTCTCAAAATTATTACATTTATACATATCAAATGATAAACAAATCTAATTTGAATTAACTTACCATTTTCGACTAATTCAAGGAATGGCAAATGAAAATTTGAAATTTTGGAATAAACGACTATAAAAAGAGGAGAATTGGATGCCCAATTAATATAATTCAAGCTTATAAATTCAAAAGAGAAAATATATAATGCCCATATGATTCCACCCTTTCTGACGAAATCATCAATTTCTCATAAATATTTTAAAATATGGAAGAGCAAGATATTTTCATTAATAAATAACAACACATCAATAATTAAAAAGATAAAAAAAATAGCTTTAGGAAAACAATTCAACAGAACAACGAGAAGAATTAGATACCCACCAACGCCATTCATAGTTGTTATAATTGTTCCTTATGAAAATTCCTCCATTATTATATAGCATTTCTCATATGTTCAAGTAATATACCAAAAGCACAAGACAACCCGATCTGATGTTGATTACATTTGTTTCAAACCAATCAATATGTTCCACTTTTCTTAAACTCATAATATGAGGCAAAAATTAATTGATTGTGGTCAAGATATATGTACTAGAATTACATATGGCATTAATTTGTTTACTTAGATAATTTGTGGGTTAAATTTACATATATAATTAAGATTGAACGTTAATGCAAGTCTCAAAAATACAAAGTGAATCCTCTGAAATGATTTTACGTAAAATATTAGAATAGGGAAAGGAAAAATAAGATTTCTATTTTTTATAAAACTCTTTTTCTAAATTTATGAGTTCATGGATGCATGAATTTACTTTATTATAAAACATATACCTGTGAGAAATTAAAAAGAACACACAAAAAATAGAAATAGATTATTTAGTCAGGAAAAAAATTTAGTCTTTTCCACTATTTTTTTTGTGAAGGACCTTTTTCTTACCAGATAAATCAAAATATATAATATTTATCATATTATTGTTATAAACACTCAATAATTAAATTATCTTTTATTTTTAATAAAAACACTCCAATCAATATTAATATTAATATCAATATACAAAATATGTGAAAAAAAACACATTTATTTATAAAATATTAAACAATGCGTCTCATTTTGTACATATTGTCCAATATTCTTTTATTATTTTAAATTTCTTCATATATTTGCCTGAGTTCCGATGAAATTTATTTTTCTACATTCAGCGTTATTTCTCCATGCATTCTAGTATGCTTCAAATATTAACAAAAAACAATAATGATGAGATATGAGACCCAATATTCTTTCTTAAATACTCACTCCATTTAAAAATATAAAATATTTTTTAAAGAATTGGACGTTAAGAAATGTAAAGTATTTTTAGTCTTTCAAGGTATAATCGTAGCATTTTTTTCAAAAGTGCCCCTATTGATAATGACTTTATATTTATTGTAGAGTGTTTAATAGGAGTGAATATAAAAAAATAAGGTTAATTTGAATGTAGGTAACTACTTTATTGGAGGATAAAATTCGGTTAAAAATATCTTACATTTTTGAATGAAGGGAGTAATAAATTATTATCTTTTTTATTTCTTTATCCTAAATTATAAGACAATATTAAAGGAATTTTGTTGTTTCAAAATATAAGATAATTTTAAAAAAAATAAAGTTTTATTGATAATATTTTTTAATAATACCTTAATAATACCCTTTAAATAAAAAGATAATTGAAATGACATTGTAATATGAAGATTAAGTGAGTAACAGTATTTTTAAAAATTTATAATTTTATTTTAAAAATATAAATTTATAAAATATTATTATTAAATTTTATTGATATAAGTAATATTACCTCAAAATATTTTATAATTTACTAGGGATGGAATATTGGTTATTGAAAAAAATATGTAGTAGGTGCTAATAATGAGAGAGGCTTGAGGGAGAGATTAGATCTGATGAGGATGAGGATGATTAAAGCTTGAGGTAATTCATAGGACTGACCTTACGACTGACCTGACACATGCCGATGAAGAAAGAGCAAAGAACATACATCATCACACACAACGATGAGACAACAAGAAGACTGCATGATGCTGTAGCTGCTAGTGACTCTGATTCTAGTCTTCCTTCCTTCTTCCTCATCATCTCATCGTCTTTGCTCTGTTCTCTTTTCAGCTTTCCTTTCAATTCCTATAAATCATCACTACCATCATCACCACCACGCATACAAGTGATTTTTCGCTACTTCATTAAAATGAGCGTAGCAGTAAAATTATTGATATTATTAAAACTAAATAATTTTTTTCTGTTTTCTTTTATTAAATAAATTAATTTCAAAAACATTTTTATATGTAATTTTTTATTCTATTAATAGAAAATTAAGAAAAATGAAATTGAAAGAAAGTATAAATATTTTGATCATATTTTATACCTAGTTAATATGCAAAAATATTCAGAAAATTTTTCTCTAAATATCAGATATTACTATAATCAACAATAGTGGATGAATATTTATTTATTTTTATAAAAGGAGCTGATATTTCTCAATTATTAATTTCTATCATTCAAGCTTAACGTTGAATGCCAAGCTATTTTAATAGAATGAAAAAAGTCAATCCTTTTATAAAATTAATAGATACTTATATATCATTATTCACTTAAAAATACTAGATATTTTTTAAAAAAAATTTGATTGTTTCTTCACCTCAATTCATTTTCATCTGAAGTGGGACTATCAAGTATTTATTCATGAAGGTACTGTATTTGAGGGCACAGTGGCACAATACAGAGGCGACTCACAGGATTCCCCCTCCTACCTTACAAGGTGGGCCCCACACTGGGCTTCATGTGTTTATGAGTGCACATGTGTGATGTTGGCGTTTTCTTCTCTCTTGTGCTTCTGCGCTCTCTGATGATGCCCTGTTCCTCAGGCCAGGGTTCTACCCTTTCTGTCCCTACTTATCTGCCTCTTCCTCCCTCCCACCCTCATCATTTTTTTCTTTTTTTACTTCTCACAATTATATTCCCTTTCCATAAAGCTGTTATTTTTCAATTTTCATGCCCTCTTTTTACATTCACCATTTTTCTACCACATACCTAGCCTTTCCATCATTTTGTTTTGGAACAGTAACATCGTGCTCCCATAAGTTTATATCTTGGTCTTTATATTTAGAATATTTTTATTAAAATCAATAATATTATTGAAAATTAGAATTTATTTATTTTAATTTGATTAAATAAAAATACATTAAACATGCAATTAAAAAGATTAAGTATATACTCTCTCCGTTCAAAAATGTAAAATATTTTATTAGGAATTAAATGTTAAAAAATATAAAATAATTTAAGTATTTCAAAATGTAATCATTACATTTATTTTCAAAAGTGCCCCGAATAATCATTTTAAATTTATTTTAAAGTGAAACGCTCAATGATATAGAATTAGATAATGTCAGTTTAATTTGAAAATAAATAACTATTTTATTGAAGTGAGATTCAATTAAAAATGTTTTATATTTTTAATGAAAAAAGTAACGCTTCTCTATTATAGCATTGTTATGCTTCGAGTATTTAAGAATGTGATATTTTAAAATTTACAATTATTAAAAAAATGATACCCCCTCCGTTAAAAAATGTAAAGTATTTTTTAAGGAGTTGGATGTTAAAAAATGTAAGAAATTTTTAATCTTTTGAGATGTAATCATTACCTTTTTTTAATGTGTCCCTATTGATAATGACTTTATATTTATTGTAGGATGTTTAATAGAAATATATATAAAAAGATAGTGTTAGTTAAAAAGTAGGTAACTGCTTTATTGGGAGTGAAATTCAGTTAAAAATGTCTTATATTTTTAAACAGAAGAAGTATTTCTCTTCTTCAATATTAAGGTAAATTAGATTTCAATTACTCATTACATCAAGGTAGGAATCTAATTATCATATAAAAATCATTTATAATAATATGTATAAATTGGTCATTCATAAGATTTTTATATTAAAAAATATTTAAACTGAAACATGTAATAAATGAGTATTAACTTGATCAACCTTTGCTAGCTCTAGCATAATATAGTTTTTAAAGTTTTGATGGGTAATAGTGAGATGGAGTGTTAATCTCGATATTTATAAAATTTGATTATATTTCTTTTTTTAATTTCAAAATAAAGTTTTGATATGCTTGAATTTAGATTAGCTGATTTATCGAGTAAGAGATAATTGAAAAAAAAAATAATTTTTTGAATTAAGCAGAAACAACAAAAACAATACAAAAAGAAAAATTGAGAAATTTGAAACTTACAAACCTCAAATTATGACCAGTTGTGCCATAAACACCACATTTAAATGGATCCTAAATTAAATAAAAAAGAAAATAAAAGAAAAATAAAATAAAATACAGCATTTAAGATTAATCAAAGTCTCTCTTTAACCTTATTCTTTTATTGTCATATATCCTGACAACCTCTTAAATTTTTCTCTCTCTCTCTCTCAACTTATTTAATTTAGTCAAAAAAATAAATAAATTTTTCAAAATAAAACATATAATCGATCTTGATCTGTGACTATATTGCTACCCACAACAACATCGATCTATCCCCATCCTATATTTATAGCCCCACCCCATGTTTACTAGTTTTCCTCGACCCGCCACCCACTTCCGCTGTTCCACCGCCGCTGGAATCTTCTCCATCCGACAATTCCTTCACTCTCTGACCCAAGTCCACACGCTTTGATTGATTCATCTTCTTTTGGCATCTCCATCCCCCCCCCCCTTTCACACACACACTCACATTTCCTGATTTCACTCACTCAGCTGCCTGCACTCACTGAAGCTGGCTTGCTCGCTACTATCTCATAATTACCACCTCCTTCATCTTCTTCTTCTTCCTCTTCTTCTTCATCTTCGTCTTCAATATCCTTCTCTTCGTCCATGTCTTCTTCTTCTTCCTCCTCCTCCAATAGCTCTGCGTTGTTGCTGTTGTTGTTGTTCTCCCTCGCTGTCCCTAATTGCTGCGGAGGCCATTGCTGCTCCGGCTGCACCATCAGGGGCGGCGCTGACGACATTGGTATTGTGCTATTATTCTTTGGATTCAGATTATGAATAGCGGTGGCCGCAGCGGCAGACGACGGAGGAGTAGTGATCATCTCAAGCTTGTTGTTCTTCTCCCTGTATAGAGCATCTAGCTGTTGAAAATACGGACAGGTCTTGGAATCTTCGGGCCTTTTCTTGTTGCTTTCCTTCACCTTCTTGAAGTACTTGTTTATGTTCTCCCACTTCTCCTTACACCTCTTGGCATTCCGGTTGTACCCGAGCCGCCGCATCGCCGCCGAGATCTCCTCCCACAACGGCCCTTTTGGCCCATTCTCTTGGTACTTCTCGTCCATATTCGTTCGTAGGTTTATCAATGCCTGAACCTCAACTTTCGGCCACCTCGATGAGCTGGGTGTCATTAAATTATTCTCCCCATTGTTATTGTCGTTGTTGTTATGAGATACCACAATCTCCATATTTGTCAATGAACCCGGCTGCCGCAGAGCGGGTGGAGGAGCCGGAACTGGTGCTGGTGCCGGTTGTGCCGCCGGTGGCGGCGGAGGAGGATTAGGCATGTTGATATTATTCAATGGAAGTCCAAGATTTTGCTGTTCGGCGATCTTCTGCAATAATGCCATTACAGCAGCATCTTTGGCAGCTGCTATAGATCTTTCTTGAGCCAATATTTCCCTCTCGCGATTAATCCTCGCCATCTCTTGCATTCTCCAAGCTTCTTCACGAACCATCCTCTCGTGTTCTCGCTTCTCAATGGCTTCCAAAAACCTCTTCTGCATTTCCTCCTGCTTCTCTATCACCTCCTTCGTCAACCTCCCGAAGAAGTCCTTCCACTTCCGCTTCCGCCGTTGCCGCCGCTCTATCGATTCGTCAGAAGACGTCGAGGAAGACGGCGAATTGGTCAAGAGCTCAGCCGCACAAGATGATTGGATAGGGTTTGCTGCTGATGTTGACAATGGTGGCGGTGGTGGTGGGAAAATATTGTAGGAAGAAGAAGGATTATTATTGATCGAAGAAGTGAGGTTGATAGGTGGATTGAGAACATTATTGGATTGAGTTGTAATCATCGTTAATGGAACAGTAGAGAAACGATGATGAGGATTAACATTTGTGGACGATAATGGAGTCGTCGCCACCACTGAAACCGGAGTTGCAGGTATGGCTAATAACGACGGCGGCGGAACTTGTGGCGGCTGAGATGAGGATTGAACTGTAAGAGAAGGAGGAGGAGGATGGTTTTGATTATGATCAAGAGCTTCTAATTGATCGAAAAAACGATACGTTTTGCCATCAGATTTCCCAGTTCGTCCATCTTTTGTTCTCTTGTGATACTTGTACACGTTCTCGAATTTCTCTTTGCATTTCTTGGCGCTTCTGTGATACCCAAGCTCTGCCATCTTCCTGAGACACATTTAAAAAAAAAAAAATTACAGTTTCTGGGTTTATATATATATATACAAATCTGTGTCATCAAAGTCACCTGCTAGCTATAAAATAAAAAGATGTAGAAAGCATTGGGAGCGTAAGGGGAACATAAAATTAAATATAGATTGAACAGTTCAATTGCCAAAGATTAATGATTATGAAACTGAAGGAAAATAATAATTGAAGATGGAGCTAGAGAGAGAGAGAGAGATATAGAGAGGGGGGAGGAAATTCTGGAGATCCAACGTGTCGAAACGGCAACTATAAAACCCATGAATGAAGTGATGAACAGAAATCGTTTTCCCATGGAAATCTCATGAGCCCAAAGTTGGAAATTTTGATAATTAAACATTAATTAATTAATTAATTAATAATAATAATAATCGGTGTCCCGTGAGAGTGGGGAACTTCGATAATTATAAGAAGGGGGAAGAAAGTATTTACTTTTGAGAAGGAAATTCAAGTCGGTAACTTATTTGGAAATTAGAACATGAATCAAAATGAATGTCAGCGAAAGCAAAATTAAATCTCACACCCGAATCGAAGAAGATGCTTCTTAATATTCCCACATATCTAATTTTTAATTTTCTTTTCCTGACGATTTGTGCTGAAATCTGAAAAGGAAAAGGGGAAGGAACTAAAGAGGAAAGAAAGTGAACTGGGGAAATCTGGAAAAGAAAAACAAGAGAGAAAAAGAGAATCTGGAAAAGAAAGTGAAGTGAAATACATTTCCAGAGTTAAGAAATTGAGAAATTCTGCTGAATCAGATCGATCTCTTATGTTGTTCATTAATCAATCCCAGAAAGAGAATCAAATCAAGAATTAATGATACCTATAGTTCATTTACCTGGAAACATCTTCCCAGAGAGGACCTTTAACGCTAGCATCTCGAAACGCCACGTCCATATCTGAGCGTATTTTCAAGAGCGCCAAAGTCTCTTGCCGGGGCCACCGGTTGCCGCCGAAGCTCCGGTCACCTTCTTCCCCTCTTCCCCTCACATCTTCCTCTCCCGAATTCGATCCAGCCGCTGCCGCCGCTGCCGCTGCCGCTGTCGATTCGCCACCATCAAGGGAAGACGTTCCTGCCGCTGCAGCGACGACCGCCATCGTCGGCGCCACTGCACCATAAGAGTTACCAACGCCGCCACCGCCACCACTTCCTCCTCCTCCTCCACCGCCCAAAACAGCCGACGATGAGTCGCCCAGCATAGGCTCGAGCTTTATTGTCAGTATCTATCTATCTATATGTATATCTCTATCTCTATATGTCTGTCTCTGCGTTTCTTGTCTTTCGCTTAACTTACGAAGCAGCGATTACAGCACGGAGATGAGAGGAGAGAGAAGGAGAAAAATAAAAACACTCATCGAAGAGAGAGAGAGAGAGACAGAGAGATAATGGTGAATTCTTGATGGATTTTATGATGGGACTGGGTTTTATGTTGAATTTATTAATTTATTTTGAGGGTTGGATCCACTCGTCAATCTCGACAATTTATTTAACATTCATTTTTATAGTTAATAATAATAACAATTTATATTTCAATTATTTTTTCTTTACGTGTTTCTTTTTCTTCACTATTAGCTTGTGGAATTTTCAGTCTGTTCTTTTTTTAAGGAAAAATTATTATTTATTATTACGCTTCTGTTAAAACTAAACAGTGGATACTGACCTACGCCTGAGTCCTCTCACTGTATCAATGAAATTGGCACAGAAAGATATACATAGTGATACTTACCATCCATTCATACTCCTAATCTTTAATTTTCTTACGTTAAAAAAAAAAAAGATTTTATGCTGTGGGTTGAGGATTTTAATGTATTTTTCTTTAGCACAGCAGAAATTGTTATATTTAAAATTGTTAATAATTATAAAAGAATAAATGAGCAAACTAACCCCTAAATTATATGTTTAAAAATATATGAAATCCTAAACTTATTTTTATTTAATATTTTCTTTTAAATTTTGAAAATAGTACAATATAACCCTTATGGTTAAAAAAATTAATTTTAATCATTAGTTGATTAGAAAAATATAAAAGAGGACCAACAAAAATTTTCTGAGTCATTTTTCTCTAATTTTTTAGTCATTATTGATAATTTTTGAGTCTTTTTTATAATTTTTTAAAGTCATTTTCTACAAAGGTAATAGTCAAAATTAATTTTTATTAACAGTAAAATTCACAATGAATTATTTTTAAAATTTGAAAGAAAATATTGCATAAAAATTAAATTTAGAGTTCCTAATGTTTCTAAACCTATAATTTAAAAGCTAATTTGTTCATTTATCTATTATAGAAATTAGAAGCCCAAGCTTTTTTAAGATTACACACACATATATAAGTATATGCTGCTATAACAATAAATTGTTTTAAATTTCAATTAGTACTTTTGAATAAATATTTATATTTGAAATAATCAATATCAATCAATATATACAAAATATAAGAAGTTATAGCAGTATTCACAAATTGTGAGCCGCTTATCTTAAATTTTAAGAAAATAAATGGGACAGACACATTATAGTTATAAATAATTAATGTATAAAAAATTGTTAGTCCATGTAACATTGTCTACTCCTTTCGTTGCTTGCCACATACTCTTTCTGCTACTTTTTATAGGACATATTATCTAATTTATACAAAACAGAACATATTTACTTACTTCACTTATGGGAAATATATCTTGTATTTCATCTCAATAAAGGGAAAATTAAATATTTAAAATAAAAAAAACAAACATATCATTAAAAGCTAATTTTATTCAGTTTGCAAACTACCGACATATCAACAGGACCGCACTCATTGCAACTTGGTGATCATTAATCTATTTAATGAGCTGCCATTTTTAACATACGTTCACATAATAATTGATTTTTTAATACACATTAAAGACTGCTTACGTCATCCTATTTATATATCACTTCATAATTTATCAAAATTAAAAAAATTAGAATTTATTAATTCTATTTAAGAATATAATAATTTTTCAATTTTATCCCAAGTAAATGAACCTAACTTAATACTTCATCTAGATCACAATATAAATTATTTTTTAAGAGTTTTGCTTGATTCAAAATATAGGGCATTTGGTAGGTATTATATATTTTTGTCCATTACACCTTACTTTATTGAGTAATTAATAAAAATGTTTTGAATAAGTTAAATGTTATATTTATTATACATAAGGGTATGATTGGAAATATATAAAAAATTAAAAAACACTAAATATTTTTTAAAAATGTAAAGTATTAGTTAATTGTGACTTATATCTTCCAATTTTTATTATAAAGCACATCCAACTAACTCATTGAAATAAGGAAAGTGAATGAGTTATTAATTTTGTTTAAAAATAGCATAAAATTTTAATTTTAGCTCTATTTAAATGAAAATAATTTCAAATTTGAACTACATTCGTTATCATATTTAATGGATTCAAATGGGGGTAATATTAGAGAAAAACATAATTAATACTCCATCAAATGTCTTATATCAAGAACTAAAGAATTCTTCTAGAAGATGCCCTATAATAAGGACTAGAGTGAACATTTTCCCTTCATTAACTCGTGATCAAAAAAATAAAAAGGTAACTTATGAATAGAACAAAAAAAATTTTCTCACTTGCTTTGTAAATAGGACAAGAGTAAGCATAGTTGAAATATATATATATATATATATATATATTTGGTTAATATGCAATTTGCACCTTAAACTGTAGGTTCAGGGGTGATTTGATCTCTATATTTGTAATTGATACATTTTAAACCTTGAATAATCAAGCTTGGGGCATCCTCACCCCTATTGTTAATTTAGCCCTAATGTCTGCTAATAAAATGGTTAAATGGCAATATAGACTATAAATTATAGGCCCATGAGTGATTTTAATCTTAAACTCGTATTTGGTATAGTTTAAATTTTAACAATTAAATTCGAAGCAATCTTTCCCCCATAGTGGGCCTATACTTCTTTATTTCCAACATCATTTCTACCCTTGTCTTGCTTCTTTCCTTGCTCTCGGTTTCTAACCCATGCTTCTTGTTAATAGCCAATGGCAAATCGTGAAAGCTATGAGGTTTGTTGGAAGTGCATGTATATGATTTTTAACCATTAACTAGACTCCAGAACAAATTAAATTAAAACCAACATAAAAGTATATGAATCCAAATCATCTATATTAGAAATTAATATCTAATTTACTAAATTAAATGAAAATAAACTATAAACAAACCTTGCATGGGTATCTATGAACTTGGCTCCTTTGGAACCAATCAAAATGTCTCTTGTTTGGACCCACACTTAAAATAACGGACGTTTGTATCATTTTAACAATCGAGCCAAATTTCTTTAAATTTAATTGTTTAGGATTTAAAATATACTAAAGATGAGTTTAAAGTTCAAATTACCCCTAGATCTAAAGTTTAAGGTTTAAACTTTCATTTAACCAAAAAATTTATTAACAAATGTTTGGACCAAATTAAAGGTTAGGGCAAGGATGTCCCATTTTTGATTATTTAGAGTTCAAAATATACTAATTAATAATATAAGGTTCAAATCACCATTAAACCTATAGTTTAAGGTTCAAATTGCATATTATCCCTACATACACACACATACAATACATATAGACACACGTATTTGTATAGCCAGTAAGCAAGCAAGCTTGGCTATATGAGATTAGGCATAAAATCTCTTTTATCTTAAAATCAATAATTTTTTCAAATTTAGCTCTTATTTATCTGGCTTAGAGTTGAGCTTATTAAGCATATCTTTTATTTATTTTTATTTTAAATTTTTAAAATTTAATTGTTAGACTTGTTCATTTTTTAAAATTATAAATTATAATGTTTAAAAGTTATAAATTAGTTAGATAAATTATAATTTTAAAGTATAAGCACATTTTAAATTTTAAATTTAAAATAAAAATAAAAATATCTAATTTTTCAAGGGTAAATTTAATTATCAGTATATATAAATAGTCCAAGTTTAAATCTATTTTTTTAGGATTTAAACGGGTTGGGCCTTGATGTCTTTTTATATAAAAGTATCCTAACTTTTAAAATTTATGGAGAATTACATTAAAATTTTACATAAAAAAATTTATTATCATAAAATCCATTGATAAATGAACTGAGGTTATTGATAACTGATTGTTTGTCAATAATTTTAAATCAATTATCAATAAATTTTATAATAATTAATTTTTTTATGTAAGATTTAATTGTAATTATTTTTAAAATCTATGCCTTAAAAAAGGATTAAAATGAGCAGCAGGTATCTGTATTTCCGGCCCAATGTCCAAAGGCCAACATAAATAAATATACACACTTAGCTTGTAACTCCCATAAAATTTTGAACAGCTGTACGATGGGACGATGAAGATATTAAGTTGGTTTTTGTCTGTCCAGCTATTTTTAGTTAAAGGCCGGCTCAAGTAAGTCAGCTTTTTCTTGCTTTTTATTTCTTTTTCTTTTTCTTTTTCTCTCTGTAAAATTTTAATTTTAATTTTAATTTTCACTTTCCGGAGGATGAAGATGCGGCCGAGCTTTGCATGCTTTTCCTTTTGGTTTTGGAGGCGTGTTTTTGGATTTCAGTAGTTGAAATGACAAATTTGTCCCTATCATCGTTCCTACATTGACCTTTAATCATTGAAGCTAAAGCTATTTTAACGTATTAATTTATTCATATCAGCTGGGTTCCGATCTGCTCATCTAGGTTGTTCCATAAAGTATTTTAATGAGGATAAATTCCTTTTTCTTGAGGTAAACTTTAAAGGTTTTTGGCCCAAAAAAATAATGGAAAGAATATTATACCAAAAGATTTATATTTTATAAATTTTCAACTGCAGAAAACCTCTTATTAATGTAATTATAAAATTTATAACAAGTAGAACCATTGGTACACCATACATGCTATTTTTACTGAAAATATGTCATGAATAATATTATTTCACTTAGATAACCGATCTACTTTTACAATAATTTTTATCTTCAAATATAACCAAATGTCTAAATCAGTATAGTGTGGAAGTATTTAACTATGTATAAGTTAGATTTAAGAGCGTATGAAATAAATAGAATAAAAATTTTGGATCTATTGCTTTTAAGCCAATTTACTCATTCGCGTAAAAAATAAATAGAATGAAAATACCAATATTGTCCAAGGGATAGGTATATCTACGAAGGTATAAAATTTATAAAATATATATATATATATATATATTATATTCACCAACCATGAAGAGTATGATTTGTATACTGTAACATCCCAAATTTTTAATCCAAAATTTATATATTAATAAAGGATAAATTAGTAAATAAGTGAAGTAATTAAGTTAATTAGGTTTTAGAATTATTAATGGAAATTTTTGGGTTGATTGGATAGGTTGGAAGTAGGCTAGGATGGTTAGTGGGCCAATCAA